CAGTCTGATGGGCACTCCTTTGTAGGTAACTGTCTTCTTTTTCTCTTGCTGCTTTTAAGATTCTTTCCTTATCTTTAATCTTGGGTAGTGTAATTATGATGTGCCTTGGTGTGTGCTTCCTTGGTTCCAACTTCTTTGGGACTCTCTGAGCTTCTTACACTTGCATGTCTATTTCCTTTGCCAGATTAGGGAAGTTTTCCTTCATTATTTATTCAAATAAGTTTTCAATTTCTTACTTTTCCTCTTCTCCTTCTGGCGCCCCCATGATTCAGATATTGGAACATTTAAAGTTGTCCCAGAGGTTCCCAAGGCTCTCTTTATTTTTTTTGAATTCTTGTTTCTTCATTCTGTTCTAGTTGAATGTTTATTTCTTCCTTCAGCTCCAAACCATTGATTTGAGTCCTGGTTTCCTTCCCTTCAATATTGGTTCTCTCTCTATATTTTTCTTTATTTCACTTTGCATAGCCTTAACTTTTTCCTCTATTTTGCAACCATACTCAATCATTTTTGTGAGCATCCCGATGACCAGTGTTTTGAACTCTGCATCTAGTACATTGGCTATCTCCTTGTGGCTTAGTTCTTGTTCAGGAGTCTTGATCTGTTCTTTCATTTGGGCCATATTTCTTTGTCTCAGCTCACCAGTTTAGGTGAATATTTCTTCTTTAACTCCTTGGTTGTTGAACTTCCATACAGTTTGATTTTTCTGGCAGTTCTGGTCACATATTAAAAATATTTGTTGTACTTCTTTTGGTTTTGTGAGGAGGCATAGTGTATCTACCTGTGCCCCCCATCTTGGCCATAAGCTCCATTTTCTTTATCAAAAAGAAAACTTGGGCTCAATCTTTATCCATGCCAACATGTTAATGAACGGAAAAAATTAAATTTTACCAATTCCTGAGAGAGACCCTAGATGGCAGAAGAGTAAGTGGAAGCTACACTAACCTCCTCCCAGGACCACACTGGAATTACAACCAAACTGTAGAGAAATCATCCTGAATAACTGGCTGAACACTAGCTGGAGAGAAGCTTTGTAACTACAGACAGATGGAAGAAGCCACATCACTGCAACGTGACTGGTAGGGAGGGCAGAGAAGGCACAAAAGGGCTGGCTGGACTTGCACAGGTGGCAGCTGAAATCCTGGGGGGATATTTCCACAGCCCGAGGGGGTCCCCCTGAGAAGTGTGGGGTCTCAACCCCAAGCATGGCTCCCCAGCCCATAGCACCAGAACTGGGAAAGGAACCCAAATAACATATAGCTGTGAAAAGCAGCAAGGTTTCTGTCTACCGGGGAGATATAGCTGGAGACACAGAGAGCCTCCTAAAGTGCCAGCACACAAAATTCCACTTGCAGCCACTTACCCTGGGCTCCAGAAGAGGGAGGTTCAGAGTAGACTAGAGACACGTGAGGAGATTCTGGGGCTCGTGGCACTAGGGAAAGAACTGAAGGAAGAGCCACAAGGATTCCTGTGCTGAGTCATTCCCCATACTGCTGAGGCCATCTTTCCGAGGCAGAGCACTCTTTTCCAAGTTGCATCTAACTGAGGGGAAGCAATAGCCCCACCCACATGAATTACTCTGCCCCACCCTGTGGTGCTTAAGCCCTGATGCTGAGGAGTACAGCTGGAAGACATTTCACTGATTAATCCTAAGCAGCGGGTGTACAACCTTTTGGCGTCTCTGGGCTACACTGAAAGAAGAAGAGTTGTCCTGAGCCAAACATTAAATACACAAACACCAACAAAAACTGATGAACAAAAAAAAGGTTTTAAGTAAATTTATGATTTTGTGTTGGGCTGCATTCATAGCTATCCTGGGCCACGTTTGGCTCACAGGCTATGGGTTGGACACTCCTACAGAAAGCCTGCAGGCAGGGGTGAATCTCTGGGAGGTATGAGACTTTAGCTGACTCTCCCCTGGGCCTGGTGCTGGTAAAAGTCAACCTTGGTGTGCAGCCTGGTTCTTTCTGCACACACTCAGGCCCAGCAGAGGGAGCCACAAGCTGTGGATCACTGATAGCTCCAAAGAAGTTTCCCAGGGCCAGCTACATGCAGGGTTTGACATGGGTCTGCAACAGAATCTTTGCATATCTACCTAATACATAGAAACAAACACAAAGAGGCAGCCAAATGGGAAGACAAAGAAGCAGGCCCCAAATGAAAGAACAAGAGAATTCTGAAGAATAACTAGATGAAATGGTGACAGCAATTTATGAGAGATTTAGAGCAATGATTCTAAGGATACTCAACAGCATTTAAAAATGGACCAGTTAGAAATAAAGAATACAATATCTGAAATTAATAATATACTGGAAGGAATAAACAGGATAGATGAAGCAGAGGATTGAATCAGTGATTTAGAAAACAAGGTAGAACAAAAAAAATACCCAAGCAGAGCAGCAAAAAGAAAAAGAATTTTAAAAAATGAGGAGAGATTAATAAACTTTTGGGACAACATGAAGCATAACAACATTCACATCATGCAAATACCAGAAGTAGAAGAGAATGAACAAGGGATTGACAACCTATTTGACAAAATAATGACCAAAAACTTCCCTAATTTGGTGAAGGGAAAAACCACACAAGTCCAGGAAGTTCAGAAAGTACCAAAGAAGTTGGACCCAAAGAGGCCTACACTGAGACACATCATAATTAAAATGTCAAGGCTTAAAGACAATGAGAGAATCCTAAAAGCCTCAAGAGAAAAGCAGGTAGTTTCATACAAGGAGGCACCAATTACACTGTTGTCTGATTTCTCAACAGAAACATCTCAGACCAGAAGGGAGTGACGTGAAATATTCTAGGTGATGAAAAGCAAGGACCTGCAATCAAGGCTACTTTACCCAGCAAGGCTATGATTTAAAATCAAAGAAGAAATAAGGAGCTTCTCAGATAAGAAAATGCTAAAGGAGTTTGTTAACACCAAACCAGTACTGCAACAAATGTTAAAGGGCTTGTTTTAAGAGGAAGAAGAAAAGAAAAGAAAAAAAAAACAGAGAAAAATAGTCTAACAATAAAATGGCACTAAATACTCACCTTAAATGTAATGGCTTAAATGATTCAACCAAAAGATATAGGGTAGCTGAATTGATAAGGAACAAGACTCATATATGTGCTGTCTTCAAGAGACACATCTCAGATTGAAAGATACACACAGACTAAAAGTAAAGGGATAGAAAAAGATACTTTATGAAAATGGAAAGGGAAAAAAAAGCTGGGGTAGCAGTACTTATATTCAATAGAATAGACTTTAAAACCAAGACTATATAAGAGACACGGAAGGACACTACATAATGATACAGGGAACAATCCAACAAGAGGATGTGACCTTAGTAAACATTTACCAATCCCTGAGATCAGGTTATTAAATCAAATGAATGAAGCTCTCAAGATTAAATTCATCATTAAAAATGTAGAGAAAGATTTTTTAAAATGTATTCCATCTGGGCCTTCCCTCAAGCCCTCATAATTGATTTTTCTGTCCCTTCTGTGACTGTCTTGTTACTTTTATTTCCTTTCGGCATCTCAAATAGGTCTGCTTTTTGCCATGTCCGTTGTCACTACACCAGTTCCAGCCAGTGTCCTCTTGTTCCAGGTGCTGTGACTGTATCACATCTGACCCCAGAATTTAAGAGGGTAAAACACACTCATGGATTCTGTGGGTTGGAAACTGAAATAAGGCATGATAAGGGTAACTCATATCTGCTCCATGATGACTAGGGTCTCAGTCTGGTGGTCCATGCTGCTCTTGTTTGGAGCCTGAGGTTTTCACATGGGCTCTTCCCAGAGGCCTCTCCATACAGACTGGTGTGAGCTTCACAGGGTGGAGGCCGGTTCCCAGGGTGAGCATATGGGATTGTGGGGAAGGGTATGTGTGCATATAGGCGGAAGCTGCTTGCCTTTCTTACCCAGCTGAGAATTAAGCACTTTCACTTCCCCATATCCCATTTGTCGAAGCTGACCAACAATCTTAAACCTAGCAGTCTGGGTCTGAGGTTTAAGAGGAAGGAAATAAACCCCGCCTCTTCACAGAGAGTGGTCAAGTTTTGAAACAGCAGGTGGGACCGGAAATAGTGTGTGACCATTTTTCAAACCTAGACATGGCCACTCTTTTGCCTGAATTACTATAATAGCTCTAACTGGTCTTACTACTTCCACTTTTGTACTTCCCTTCATATAATTCTCGTGTAGAAGCCTGAAAACGCCTATGACAGATTAGATCATGTCTTTTCCTGGCTCATAATCCTTCACTTGAGATAAAACTCAGTGGTAGGCTGCCTACCAGGCCACAAAGCTGAGCTTGCCTCCTGTATACCAGTGTAGAGAGCCCCTCTCTCTATGACACACTTCATGTCACAGACCTTTCAGTTCCTCAAACAGACCAAATTTTCTTCTACCTCTGTCTTCCTGGAAATTTCTCTTCTTGCCTTGCCATGTGGTTTACTTCTATTCATACTGGTCCCTGAATATCATTCTCTAGAGAAGTCTTCCCTGACCCCAGCCTATATGAGGCCTTTCTGTTGTAGCACTTTGTAATAGTTCTTCATGTAACTATTCATGATTGCTTGAATAAAATTTGTCTTTTGTAAAAAAACTGTAAACCCCACTGTAAGATCAGTGTTTATGTCTGTGGTTAGCATAGTGTAGGCCCTCTGTCAATCTGTTGAATGAGTGGATGGTATAGTCAAGGATTACTGCACAAAGAATGTCTCTACCCTCAGGAACCTGGTCTAGGTTTGGACACCGAGCAGGCAGCAGTTGTGATAGGACAGAAGAAAGGCAGAAAAGGGCAGGCTCGGTGAGCAGGCAGATGGGCTGACCAGATAGCCAGCCAACAACAAGCTAACCTAGTAGTCAACCACTTCTGCATCCAACCAACTGCCAGACAAGGTAACCTGAGCACTTCCACTGTCAGCTCAGTCTCCACCAGCCCGGCCTGCCTGCTGCCACCATGATGATGCCCCGCCGAGAGGAGCACTGGCATCTTCTTCCTTTGATCCTCGGAATTTGAAGATGGTCACACATTCGGCACCAAAATTTGTGCTAAAAAGCCCCACCAAGATGTCTCTAAATGAACACTTTACTTACATGCTGAAAAAGAAACAGCTGATGCCAGTGAACATTCCGGCTTCCATGCAGCAACATCAGGAGGTAGTCAGTGCCAGAAAGAGAAGACTGGCCCAGCAGATGGAGAATAGACCTTCCATCTAGGAAGCATTAAAACTTAAGCAGACTTTACATGCAAGTCTGGACAGTGGCTGTGGAAGGATATATTCCAAGCTGTTGTGGCTGGGCATCGGCAGAGTGGTGCCATGCCACTAAGAGCTTAAAGCAGCACCTGGGTAAGAGTAGCATCCAGGCACCCTATAGAGGCCCTAGCCAGGCGAGTGACAGGATGATGAGGCCTGCCCATAATCCAGAGAGGCTTGCCCAGAGGAGGACTACATGGGGATGTGCTACGACAACCCTGCTTAGGGGCAGGATGTCACTCTGTGGTCAAAGTCTGCTCCTAGGTGGACGAGCCATAGCTCCCACATGGGCTTAAAGAAGAGGTGGTGTTCGAAGCTGTGGATGTCCTTAGGAGAAAGGCTCAAGAAAATGGAACTAGAGGTCATGGCAGAATTGATGGTAGATGTAGGAGTGTGACAGGTTGGGAAAGAGAGCTTTGGAGGCTGAGGCCGAGGCTGTGGACAAGGGAGAGGTGCTCTTGCTCTCACTATACTCTTGCTCTCACTATAACCAAGGAGCAGTTGGACAGCCAGCTGAATGCATATATGTAAAAAACAAAAGGACACTGGGGTGCTGAGTTGGTTGTCTACCTGGCACAGACAGATGCGGAAAACAATGATTAAAGCTTGCCTGCCGCTCTCCTCCGAGAGACTCCTGATACAGTTACGATGACTGTAAAACCTTGAGATAACAGATGAGGAGAAACCTACCTGTTCTTTCTCTCTCTCTCTTCCCCTCCCTCTCTAAATATTTCACAATAAGTCATGGACTTGTCACCAGTTTGTGCATTTGGTGTGTTCTTTTTACTTTTTTGATATTGTATTATATAAAACTTGTTTTCCTATGATTTGGGTTTGGTTTCATTTTGTTGTTTTGGTTTCTTTTTCCTTCTTCAAGAGTTTCTTTTGCATGTGTTGACCCTCCGTCGTCCACCTCTGCCTCCCCTCATCTGCCATCCATGCTCTGATGTTCTAACATTAACATCTCCTCTGTTTATCTCTGTGCCCCTGAAAACTTCCCAGAGAGAATGCATCAATGTTCCTCCCTAATGCCTAGGTTTATGAAATACGATTCTATTCTGTGTCGAGCCTCTTAGAAGTGTTTAGAAAATCTGGAGTTCAAAAATGCATTCTGTCACATACAGTAAATTAGAAACACTGACCTCACTACAGGGCTGCACAGCAGGTTATACGTGGTAGCAGCTCTCATTTGAGTAAAGTCGCTACTGTGTACATTGACACCACATAATGTGTGCTGGGTTGGGTATGTATACACTTTCTACCCTGGAATAAGATTTATAAACTTGCCTCTTGGCTTTGTACCATGTATAAAGGGGCACTATTGGTTTGCCATATACCTGCAGTAGAGGGGGAAAGCCATTTGGTTAAGTAGAAAGTTCAGAAGGGAAAGAGATGGGGGAACTACAGCAGATACCTGCTAGGGAAGGGTCAGAAGGTACCCATGCTGAATGCAAGTCTTATGCTTATCCCAAACCAGACTTGACCTTCTTCATACATTGGCTTTGTATGACCCTCTTATTTCCCTTGAAAGTTTAAGTTCAACCATATTCTGTCAACTGTTTGAGTTTCAGTGGAATCTTGCACTGTATTTCCTGTTTATTATAACAAGAAATTATTCCCTCAAATCCCCCCGGAAAAGAATATGGTCTAAAAGAGCAAGAGTTGTAGTGAGTGAACTGTGTGACGGATCTAGTGGATAAGGGCCATGAAAAAGCTACTGTGCACAGGAAGGACTACAGGAGACAGCTTCATGAGAGAAGTGGCATTTGGGCTCGGATTTGAAGGATGGAAATAATTTTGATTTGTGGAGATGACGGGAAAGAGCCTTCTAAACAGAGTCAGCACAGCCCTGGCCAGTGTGACTCAGTTGGTTGGAGCACTGTACCATACATTAAAAGGTCACAGGCCTGATTTCTAGTCAGGGCACATGCCTAAGTTGTGGGTTTGGTCCCTGGATGGGGCCCCTATAGGAGGCAACCAATCGATGTTTCTCTCACATTAATGTTTCTCTCCCTCCTTTTCTCTCAATACTAATTAATTAGTTAATTAGTGTCAACATCAAGGATGCGATATAATGAAACTGGGGTTGTCAGGTGAATAGGGTTCCTGGACCCAGTCCCAACTTGGGTTTGGGTTCTGCCACACCAAAAAACAATTCTCAGACACCAGCAGGGTGTCCAAGATTTCAGCTCAATTCTAACACTGTCTACCAGGGGATAGTGTTTGAGTCCACAGCAGAGGTTAAGGGTCCAGTCCCACCACTGCCCCACACACAGACATTCAGATGCCAACCACAAGCCCGGGCTCTGACTTCCTGCAACTCAGGATGGCACTTGCAAGTCTAGGTTGTCTCTCGTACCTCTGACCAACCAACACTGAACCAGAGTTCAGGGGGTGATTCCACACCCCCTGAATCAATTAATTTGATTAAATTAATTTCCTAGAATGGCTCAAAGAATTCAGAAAACCTCTTTACTCACTAAATTACTATTTATACAAATGATAATGAAGGGTACAAATCAACAGCCAGATGAAGAAATAGGGTGAGTTTCCCAAAGAAGAAGCTTGGGAAGCATTCTTGTTCTCCAATGTATCAGCTCCAAAAAAGGGCCAATGAGCTGTCCTGGGTGTTATGGATCATGACGTAGTCATGACTGACCAAGTCGTTGGCCACTAGAGACTGAACTCAACATCTAGCCCCTACCCTCCTCCTGGAGGGGTGAGGGAGATGAGACTGAAAGTTCCAACCCTCTAATCATAGGGCTGGTTCTCCTGACAACCAGCACCCACCTTGGGGCAGGAGCTAAAGTCACTCCTTAACAAAAGACAGCTTTTTCACTCTCAGCACTTAGGACATTCCAAAGGCCTGGGGAACTGTGAGCCAGGAACTATTGGTGAAGACCCACTATTTCATGAACCACAATACTGCACCAGATAAGATGGGGTTCAATTCGAATTCCATATTAACAACAAATACCTTTTTAGTGTATGCCCCAGGTATTGCAGAGAATGTACTTATACTAAAGAAATATTTGATGTTGATCTGAAATTCAAATTTATTTGGGTGTGTCCTGGATGTTCATTTTTGAGGTCTGGCAACCCTAACTGCGTCAGATGCTAACTCACATAGCAACCTTGCCTCTTCTGAGCAGTTGTCCACTCAGTGTACCACCACCTGAAGATCTTGGTTTCTGGTCTCACAAACTGGGAAAAGACAGTGTGAAAAGTCATTTGGCTCTTCTGTGGGCAGGCCAGTACATGGCCTACCTCAACCCTGGCCACATTCCAGTAGCAAAACCAGACAGGTTGCTCCACCCAGACCCAGCAGTGCTAGAAAACATCTTCCTGTGTTCCCAGAGCTCGGGCCCTCAGCAGCGAGCGAGAGCAGGTAGGTAGAATGGGAGGAAGGAACAGAACTTTGGCATCAGAGAACTCTGTGTTTAAATCACTGTTCATGAGGCTCTGGACCAAGTTACACAGTTTTGTCATTTGTAAAAAAGCCGCAAGACCCACCTTGCAGTACGGTCAGTACAGTGCCTGGCACATAGAAGGTACTAGATAAAGAGTTGTTACTACAGTATTATTATTTTGTCTGTGACCTGTCATTAAAAGTATCTCCATGACTTGCTGTGTGGTGTTGGTTTCCCCAGTAGCAACATAGAAAGCAGTATCAAAATGTTTCATGTCTTAGGTTTTTCAATCTAAAAAGCCACCGATTCCAGTTGAGGCTCAGCCAAGTTACTGCACTTGGCTGAGCCCTTAGGGCAAGTGTCTCAAAGAGCAGCAGCTGCCCTGCCCCTCAGTAAACAGGGTACAACATTCACAAACATTGCATGGTTCCACATGAATGGATCAGCTGCATTTGCTACTTTTCCCAAATAGTTGGGAGATTTTTTTCCTTTAAGTACAAGAATTGTGCCTAGGCTAGAATTTCAGTTTTTCACCACAATTGCCTGAATATAATCCAGTGAAAGAAAACCTGATAAATTTCTGACCTTTCTCACTAGCTTGAGTACCATGTGCAACTTCTCAGCGGTACTGAACTTACCCTCCAGAGATCTTAGTTATTTTTTCCAGCACATATGACACTCCCGTAATAGCAACAAAACACTTCCACTGTTCAGATTTCAGATGTCAATCTGAACCAAAAATGGTTTGCTGTGACAACAGGCAACCTGCTGGACCACATTTTCCCCCTGTTTTGTTTATTGGTGTTTTTGATTTTGAACTTGGTTTCATTATGCCATGTCAAGGAACCAGCTAAGGGGGCTCAATTGGCCATGGCCCAGCAGCGGGACCTAAGACCCTGTAACTCAGAATCTTCTGAGGTCAGCACTGTGTTATTGGGCGAATATATCTTCACCATATTTTCTTAAGTGACAAGGGAGTGTGGGTGGGTCAGGAAAAGAGGCCAGTAACATGACATGAACTTCTCAGACATCTAAGCTTTGTAACCTATTGCAGCAACTTTGGCTAGCTTATTGGGGTGATCTTGCCTATCAGCTGGTGTCCAAGAATGGGGCATGGGTTGCAATAAAAATTCTCTCTTATCTTAGATATAAACAGTTCTCTTTTAACCTGAAGTTGAGGTGGTTCAATATGTAGGCAAATAATGCCCTTCAAAATGATTGGCCCACTAGAACGTTTAGAACTAGTTCTTCTTTGTAAGTTATTTTTGGTGAGAAGCAATATACCACTCTCTAGTCTAGAGATTTCAGGGCAAATTACAATACAGATTGCCCCCCTAACAGAGTGGCAAGTAAATATGTTCAAGGTTATATTATAAATGAAGTACCTAGTACTACAGGAAGGCTCAAAAAATATCTTTGACAGGAATGGATGAAGTTCGTGATTTAGCGTGTTTCCTTGGAAGAATATTTGGAAGGGTGTTCCCTGAGAAAGAACCGTGATGGCACTCTGTCTGCTCTGTGTCTCCTGAGGGAGGAGCAGGCACCCAGAGGGCAGGGGTGCCTTTTCAGTGCAGCCACACACCAGACGAGGAAAGGTCATTGGAACCGCTGAACCAACGCCCATGCCTCAAAAGTGAGGGATACCTGGAACAAACAGAGACTCACAGTTAACTACTCTTTTTTTTTAAACACATGATAGCTGTTAATAAAAAGACCAGCAATGCCCTAGCCACGTGGCTCAGTTGGTTGAACATCATCCCATACACCAAAATATTGTAAGTTCAATCCCAGGTCAAGTTATGTTTCTTTCTCTCTCTCTCTCTCTCTCTCTCTCTCTCTCTCTCTCTCTCTTTCTCTCTCACTCTCTCTAAGTTCAATAAGCATGTCCTTGGGTGAGGATTAAAGAAAAAAATGACCAGCAGTTAAGTCCATTTCCTCTTGTTATCTCCCGTAAGGTGGGTCATCATTCTTTCTGATGGCCAGGTACAATAAGACAAATGTACACATAGGTTTCCCTTCAAATAAATAGCAAACAAGAGATAGAAGGCAGATTAATGGAAGGAAATTTTTATTTATGCAGATAAAAATGCCTGCAGTGATTCCATATTTTCCCTGAGGTGAGAAGGAGAAGCTATTTGATAGACAGTTGCTCTTTCCATCATGAGAACTAGGTGACCTTTGAAAAGTCACACACAG